TATGCTATGATCAGGCCACTGCACTCCTGCCTGGGCAACAGAGTGAGACCCTGTCTCTAATAATAATAATAAAACCCAATAGTGGTTATTTATAAGGGTCGGTGGATTTCGGTGTGAAGGTAAAGGAGAACTTTAAATATCTTTGTTGCTTAAGTTTTTAAAAAAATATGTATTCATGTATAATATTGTCATTTGCGATGAGACTGAAAAGAAGAAAATGCCTACTCAAAAACCTTTTAAGTATAAAGATGCTATCAGAAAATAAGTCCTAGATTTAAGAAGTGGTTAGTGAGGAGGCTGGCCAGTGAGGAGATGGCATTCAGTATTGGTAGACGTGTTTAGCCCAAGAAAGCATGAATGTACTGATCTTCATGGATTGTTTTCCATTTTCCCCATATTATTAAATTCTAGTCTGTGGATTACTAACTACCTGATTACTGACTACCTGAGTACCTAGAATGCATGTCAGCATTTTTCAAAAGGTAATCTGACAGAAAGATTTAGGTATTACTCAGTCCCTTGAGGCATGGACTTCTTTGGCTTTTGGGTGAAGGCATCTTTAAGTCTTATGATCAGTCATACTCTGATCACAACTCTTAAAATAACCAAAATTCTTACTATTTTCTACTCCTGCCCCCTGGCATTCCATTATTTTATTATTTATTTTATTTACAGTCATACTTCCCATAAAGTTTCAGGCAATGATAGACCACATATGCAAAGGTAGTCCCATAAGATTATAATATTGTGTTTTTACTGTACCTTTACTGTATTTAGATATGTTTAGATACACAAATACTTAGCATTGTGTTACAACCGCCTGCAGTATTCAGTACAGTAACATGCTGTACAGGTTTGTATCCTGGAGCAATAGGCTATGCCACCTAGCATAGGTGTGTACTAGGCTACACTATCCATGTTTGTGTAAGTCACTCTGTGATGTGTGCACAATGACAAAATTGCCTAAGGACGAATTTCATAGAAGTACCCTGTTATTAATGATGCATGACCATATTTATTTTTAGCAGGAGTGTATACATAAATAAAAACAAGCTAACAGCAGAAATGTAGTTTTAAAAATTGATAATATTAGGGTCTGATCTGAGGTCCAAAGAAGTTAATCCAAATCTCTGACATTTATACAACTATAGAGGTTATCCAATTTCAGAAGCCCACCTACAAGCCTGCAAAGTAAGATCCCTTCAGATTGCTCTCACCTGTGAAGAATGGTGCCAGCCCCTCCATACTCTGTACCTCAAATTTCCAGAGTGTTTCTGTACCCCAAATTTCCAAACCAAATTCATTCAGTGACCTGGAATAACTGGTGTGACCTCTCAAATGAGAGATTCCTCACCTATAAAACGAGGACACTATCATTTAACAGGGCGTTTGTGTGCAAAACCCCTAGCACAATGTCCAGCATGTGGTGGTAACTGAACAAATATTCATTCCTTGCCTTCTTACAGTTCTAGAAGATTTTCAGACTCAGAGGAACTTGGGGAACTTCAGATTAAAGCTAGGATTACCAGACCACCAATGAAACAAAACTAACCCTTCTTAAATATGCCAGTGAAGATTTCAGTGTGTGCCCATTTTCCCACATGCTTGCCACATAAACCCTCTAGATTTTATGAAAATTTGACCTTACACAAATTATTCACCTTCACATAAAGCTGTAATTCACTGATTCTGAAACTTACTATTATTTGAAATGAACATCACATACCTCTCAACCAGTCGCTACTGATTTTAGGGTAAGATTTCAAATTTTCAGAGTATGACTTACTTGAAATACATGTGTAGAAAAATTCCATAATTCTTTTCCTTTCAGGGTGAATTTACCTGAGAAAGATAGGAATATTTTAGAGCTCAGGTCCCCGATCCCCAGGCCAGGGACCAGTACTGGTTCGTTGCCTGAAAGGAACCAGGCTGAATAGTAGGAGATGAGCAGCAGGTGAGGAAGTGAAGCTTCCTCTGTGTTTACAGCGGCTCCCCATGGCTTACATTGCTGCCTGAGCTCCACCTCCTGTCAGATCAGCAGTGGCATTAGATTCTCATAGGAGCTCGAACTCTACCATAAACTGCACACTAGAGGAATCTAGGTTGCCTGTTCCTTATGAAAATATAATGCCTGATGATCTCAGGTGCAGCAGAGGCAATGATACTAGCACTGGGGAGTGGCTGCAAATACAGATTATCATTAGCAGAGAGGTTTGATCGCACAATAAATGTAATGAGCTTGAGTCATCCCAAAACCATCTCCCTACCTCATCCATGGAAAAATTGTCCTCCATGAAACCAGTCCCTGCTGCCAAAGAGGTTGGGGACCACTGTTCAGAGAACCCCTCCTTTTTGCTTTTCACTGTGCTGCCCATAATGTTGAGAATCACAACCAGATGAATCTATTCTTTAAACTCAGTTCCGGAAAAGACAACCCAGGGTCTTGAGAGAGTGTTTAGGTTCTCACCTTACCTTGGCCACTGCCACTTATTTGGGTCCCCATGTCCGCACTCTGAAAGGATAGTCTTGGACCAAATACTGTCTAAGGTGCTTCCAAGCTCTAAAATTCCATGATCAAGGTCAAACGATGAACACCAAACTAACCAAGTAAGCAAACTAAAGTACATTTCTTGTGGCCAAATTCCCAAGCCTAGAAAGCAATTTACTGAAAAGGAGGAGTCAAATTTTTCGAGACACTTGCCAAATATCCACCAAGAAAAAACAAAATATAATAGGGTCTAAAACTTTAATGTGTATACTTAGCACACAGGCTTCCCTTCAATGGAAGATACTTCCACATAATTACAAAATATATTCCTATACTTAATGATATTATACAAACCATAAAGTTACATATTTGTAAAATATAAAAATATTTAAATGGTATAATTATCTGTATTTATGACACTTTTCTTTGATTTAAATCATCTGCATTTTGTTAGAATGCCTAAAAACTATTTGAAAGTGAGAGAAAATGAACTGATACAAGTGAACTTCTTGGCACTTTAGTTTTCGTTAGACATTTAAATAAATGTCTAAAAACATGTCATCAAAAAAAAAAAACCATAACGTCTCTCAAAAAAACATAACGTCATGGGGTACTTATAGTTCTGTAATTCTAGGGAGCCGGGGACAACTCCCCTGTAATATTTATTCAGAAGGACCAACTTCTGTAAAATCCCTGATAGTCTGGGAAACTTTCTAATGTTGAGCCCCTAGATCAGTCTGAAAGGCCTTCTCCTCTGCTCAAAACAGAGGTGTATGACCACACAGCTTCTGCTTACCTACCGGTAGATTCATTTGCACAGCAATTCAAAGCCTCCCAAGTCTCTTGCTTGTGACCCTACAAACAAATCGATCACTTTTACCTTAAGGCCTTGACTGATTTCCTTTTGGGAAATGAGAAGAATGAACATGAGTATTAACCTTAATAAGTTCTTACAGAAATGTTGATCTCCAGCTCCACACTAAGAGAGACAAACACACAGCCCCTTCTTTCCCTTTAGCAGTGCTTAAGTTTGTAAAAGCCCACAACAATAGAAGTCAAATACCCCAACTCCCCCACCCCCCAGATGCTGCATGAAAATTTGCATTTCTGAGAGGCTTCGGGGGGGGGGGGGGACTGAATACAATTCATCTTTCTCTTCCCCAGTAGTAACTGTAGAACTCCAGGTTAAAAAAAAACACGTTAAAATGCTGGTGAAAAATAGCAGTAGCTTGCAGATGTAGAATCTGGGGCCATGCAATCGACAGACTGCCCTCCAATCTTCTCACTCTTTTAGATGCTACCATGGGCATTTGTTTAAAGGCTCTCCAAAATGCCAGTTTGGGTTAAGTTCCAGAAAGACCAGCATAAGCCAGTATAAAAAGCAGACGTGACCCTACAGTTTGCAAGTGAAAAGTTCAAGGACTAAATTTGTCGGTTGCTTCAATACTTCATAATAGGACCTGTCGATGCCTCTGCTATACAAAGGAATGGGTGTATAAAATTACTGAATTAACGTGAGTACTGGATTCCGAGATGAAAGAGGAAGAGGTGCAAATCATTACGGTATATTGTGTTTCCACGGTAGTTTTATCGACTCCTGACGAAGTCCTTGCTTGGTCTTTTTGAATGCTGGGCATGGGTCGACAAATAGAGTGTAGCCGATTTAAATAGCTCCTCTCAAGTTCTGAAATCAACTCTACCTTAAATCTATATAGCTACGGATGACATAATCAGTCCGTACTCTTTTCCTAGCCAGCAGCCATGGCGAGAGTCCCTTTCACTTGGCGGGAATTACAAGGAAAACCAAGAGATACTTTAAAGGATATACATGCCAAAGACCTGGAGTTTAGTTGGCAGGGCGGGGCGGTGCAGAGGTTTGGTGGCCGACTAAAAGAAGTCGGGGACTGGGCCGTAGGCACTCGGAGGACACAAAAGAAACAAAAGTTTGGGGGGTTGGCAGAGGGTCGTGAGCACACCTTATCTCTGATTGGAGGAACCGCTTAGACTTTTCTTTATGGCGTCACCGAGTACCTGCCTGTAGAAAGGCCCCGTCTTCGTGACGTCACGCCTCACCGGCCAATGAAAGGCCCCAGTCTGCGGGCCCCGAGGAGGGTTGTGGGCCCTTTTTTGTGAATGAAGCTCCACGGAGCAGCCCTCCCGGGGTCCCCGGGAGCCGCGGTCCGCCGAGCTCGGACGTCTCCACAGCGGCGTCCGCGGCCGCAGTGGGCGCGAGCGGTTACCCTGGGCGGCCCCAGCGGCTGGCGGGGGCACCTTCGCCTCGGCCGCGCCGCCGGGCTGCGGGCACCTGGGGGCGGGCTGGGGGCGGCGGCAGGAGGCGCTGTAGCTAGAGCCGCGGCGCGGGTCCCGCGGCGGCGGCGGGAGGGAGCGCGGCGGGCGCCGTGCGCCGGGCCCTCCTCCGCCTCCCGCGCGGCCGCCTCCCGCCGCTCGCCGGCGCCCGCCATCCCCGCAGCGCCGCTCTGCGTCCGCTGCCCGAGCGCCCGCCCACGGGGCTGGCGGGGGCCTCGGCGGGCGCGCGGCGCGCGGGGCCATGGTCGTGGCCCCTTGACGGACCGCGGCCGCCTCCATGAAGCGGAAGAGCGAGCGGCGGCCGTGCTGGGCCGCCGCGCCCCCCTGCTCGCGGCGCTGCTCGTCGCCCTCGGCGGGCGTGAAGAAGAGCCGCAGCTCCACGCCGCAGGAGCTGCACTGCCTGGACCAGCAGGACGACGTGTACCTGGACATCACCGGTGAGCCGGCGAGCGAGCGAGCGCGTGGCGGGGCACCCCGACAGCCGCACCCCGCGCCGGGTCCTAGCCCACCCACCCAGGCTGCGGAGGCGCCTCCGGGGGCCCGGCTGACACGCCTCCACCCCCACCCCCGTAAAAGCCCCAGCCGCCACACCCCCTTTGGGATCCAGCCTCCCTGGGAGCACCTCCTCACCCCGAATTCCTAGCTGTGTTTGCTGCCAGCTGTAACTTTATCCGTTGTGCACTCTGCTCCAGGAAAATGGACCGAGGGTCACCTTTCTAAATTTCGGGCGTCAGCTGAGCGCCTGGAATGTACAGTTCCTCCCCTTGGGCTGCTTCTGAGTTCTTGTAGATACCGCCTCTCGGGGTCGAGAGCTCGGCTGGCCCTCACGTGAGCCCGAACCTCTCACGATTCCCCGAGCGCGCCTGGCGCGGAAGCTGCCCCTTTTTGGCGTTGGCCAACCCCCCTCTGCTGTGTGGAGATGGAGACCCGCGTGGTGCAGGGCTCCCGGCCAGCCACCGAAGCCAGAGCCATTTTCCCTGGTCCTCACTGGGCTCTCCCTTCCCCAGCGCGCGCATACCCCTGCACACCTCAAGCCTCCTGGGGTTCATTCCCCTCCGATGCTTCAGGAAGGAAGGTGTCGCGTCGATGGCATTTGAATCAGTCGGCGTGCTGAATGCCCAGTGTTGTCACTCTTGAGAGCTCCCAGTCATCAGAGCAGGTAGAAAAGCAGCCCTTCGATAGCTATTTTATTAGTGCTGATTCTACCTTTCTTGGAGACCAATAAATCCAATTTGGCAGCTGTTAGGTTTGCCAGGATTGACACTGAAGCGTGTGAAGGCACTAAATGTGATGATGTCTGTGGAAACGCTTTGTAAACAGCATGTCTGTCTACGGTTTTAGGGAATTCGCAGTCTGTTTTCTGGGACAGGGAACGTGTCAACCTCTGTGTGTGGCGTTTTTTAGAAAACTGTTTCCCGCCTTTAGCCTTTGATAAACCAGGTAAGCTGGACTGGCAGGAACATTAATTTAGAAGTATTTACACAAACAGAAATTTAGCAGAAATTATATTCAAGGTTGATGGACTGTCTGGAAACTAAGGTCCATTTTAAACAAAGCTGAGAGCAGAGTAGTAGGTTTCTCAGTGTTGGGAGGCTGGCACTTAGGAACGGAGGCCGGAAGAGGAAGGGGTTGCCTTAAGCACCTGTCCCTGGCTGGCACCTGCCCAAGTCCAGGGTAGGTGTTAGTGCTGCAGAAGGTGAAGCCTGCTTGCTGAGGCCCAGAATCCAGGTCCCTCCATGGTAGGAGTGGTGGGGCCTACACATTCCTTCTGCCTTTTGTTATTTATACCTCCTAAAAGGATCTTTACTCCATGGCATTTAATTTTAGGGCAAGTAGTGCTCTTACATGGTACAGGACTCTAATGCTAAAGGAGTATATAGTGAAAAGTTGGTCTCACAGTTGCTGGTGTCCTTCTCTAGAGGCAACTGCTGTTGCTTGTAAATCCTTCCAGAAGTAGAGTATGCATGCATACTTTGTATATATTCTCTACTATCCCGGTGCATGGTAGCATACAACTTGTGCACATTGTTCTATTTTCACACAGTATTTCTTAGCAGAATGATTCTTCTGTATTGGTGCATACAAAACTGGCTTACTTGATTTACTTTCTTAGGCCAAAGTATATATGGTTTTAAAGAATAAAATCATAAAAATAATGGATTTAAATGTACATATAGACTTAAGTGTTTCGTAATCATTTAGACAGCTCCCTGTTGATGAACAGTCTTGGTTGTTTCCAGTCAAAAAGGTTTTTGAGATTAAAGTCATTGGAGTAAATCTTCTTCCTTGATGGAGGTAAAACATAATGTGGCTAGCCTTTGTGAAGCAGTGACTGATTGATTAACTTACGAAAATTTCACCAAGCAGAATACTGACAGAGTTGGTGCATTGTATAAAATAGAAATGCTGTCAGATTATAATCCTCAATAATGGAAGGGTCTCATGCTCTAGCTTTAATGTAAGATACCTCCAGGGGAGTAAAGGTCATGGTTAGCTTTCCCTAGGATTTCTCCAGGTTTCCCTCTGTGATAGTCTTGACTTTCTGGAAAAATGATATTAAGTCAGTCTGTTGCAGTGTGATATACAAGACAAATTAATTTTGGATGCAGGGTTTGGATTACTTTTTATCCAATTCATGGGGAATGCTTGTGGCCTTGTCCTCAGCAAATGACAGCTAGTCCCATCCTTTCCAACTTGTTTTTCCCTTCCACTTTTGTTTTCTTAGTGTATTTTTAGTTTTAGTTCTTTAAATTTTATTTTTTGTTTTGAGACAGAGTCTCACTGTGTTACCCCAGGTAGAGTGCAGTGGGGTCATCATAGCTCACTGCAGCCTCCAACACTTAGGCTCAAATGATCCTCCTGCCTCAGACTCCTGAGTAGCTGGGAATGCAGGCACGTGCCACAATGCCCAGCTAATTTTTCAATTTTTAGTAGAGATGAGGTCTTGCTTTTGCTTAGACTCACAAACTCCTGAGCTCAAGCAATCTACCTGCCTTGGTGTCTCAGAGTGCTAGGATTACAAGTGTGGGCCACCACGCCCAGCCTGTTTTCTTAATTTAGAAACCAGTGCATGTATGCTTTCTAAATGGCAAACATGATCAAGTGAGTTTTATAGATATAGTCTCCCTCCCCAGGTGATTTTTCCCCTTTTAATTTTCTATACATATTCAAATTTCTAGAAATTGTACCATACCAGCAAGAACAGTTCTCCTTTTAATGGCAGCATTATATTACATTGTATGGCTGAATCATGATTTATTTAGTGGCAATAAATAAATGGTTATTTGGGAGTTTTCCAGTCCCTGTTGCAAATGGCTATAGTAGCATCAGTGTACCCATCTGCCTATACATGTGACTATACCAATAAAATAAATTTCCAGAAGTGAAAATGCCAGGCCAAAGTATGACATCCATTCGTCAGTAGACTTTTGGGGTATTGTGAATAATGCTATTGTCAACATTCATGTACAAGTTTTCGCATGGACATACATTTTCAGTTGCTTTGGGTATATACCTCCTAGTAGAATGGCTGTGTCACATGGTAACTCCTCTTGTTTAATCCTCTAAGGACTTGCCAAACTCTTTTCCAAAGTGACTATACCACCAGCACTCTAAGCAGCAGTGTGCCAATGATTCCACATCCTTGTCAACACTTATTATTGGATCGTGAAGATTCTTTCACAGTAGAGTAGGTTTGTAAATATTAATGCATGTTGTTACTTCTGCCCACCCTGTTCTTAAATACATGGATTTTTTTTACTTTAGTCCCTTGAAATTTTTATTGCAACCTATTTAATCTGTAAATTGAATTCCTGTAGATCCTGATTTTGTGTGTGTATTTAATATAGGATGCTTAATGCCTATTTTTGTTCCTGTTGCCCTCTGTTATGTGATCACTGTTGTATAGTGTCTAGCCAACCACACCGTTATACTGGGCATTTACTCTTACTAGGAGCAGACTAGTAGGGTTTAATTCCAACCTGAACCCATGTACCTCCCATCTCACCATTCAGTTCTTACCATGTGCAATGACATGGATTTTTCGCATGAGCTATATTCCTGGTGCAGTTTTAGTGCACCATGAGGACAAAAGTTCATAAAGACAGTGTAAACTGTAAATGTTAATGCTAAAAAGGTACTGAGTGAAGATATCAGAATGAGTTGTAACCAGTCTAGGAAGCTGGGGGAAGTGAGGAGGTGAGGAGGGTTTTCAGTTGGATTTGAAGCTAGATAACTGTCAAGATGGGAGAAATACCAGAGAAAAAATGTTGGACACAGTCAGGCATTTGATTTATCTATGAACCTCCTTGATGCTAGAGGTCTGAATCTTTTTTATCTCTATTTTCCCATCCCTTAAATAGGGGCTTCCATAAATGACAGTGCACATTTTCCTTTCCTCAGGCAAAAAAATTTTGAAGACTCAACACTACCGCATACTCTCTGTTTTCACAGATTATTGACAGGATGTAATACGTGCAGAGCTTCGATTTATTTCACTTCTTTATTTTTTATTTTTCTAATTTCTGATTAGTAAAGAAAATTTGTAATCGCTACTGGGTAAAAGATTCTTAGTAGGTTGTATTTAAATTCTTTATTTTTTAAAAAGCTTTCCATGGTTTGACATGGTTTAGCTTTTAAAGACTATAGTATTACAGTAAATAATTTTATTGGAGAAACTCTAGTGGAGGTCAGAATTGTCATTTAAAAGCTTTAACTAATGGTTGTGTATTGGATGCTCATCAAATAAAATTAAACAGACAGTACTGCCCTCCCACCTCCCTTTCTTTTTAGGATCTTTAAAATTCACAACAGACATCATTAGGCAGGGAAAATTTATTCATTAATTCAAGAAGTATTTATTGCATGCTTACTATGTAAAATAGCCATGCATATTCATTGTTTGCAGCAATAGAAGTATCTTTTTCTTGATAGAAAAAGAATGCTGTTACGTAGAACACTGAGTCAAGGAGAAAAATTCATTTTCCTTCAAGTTGCATGATGTAGTAGATTATTGAGTTTCAGGAATTGAAGCTCATCAAAGTATGCAGTGTTCATTTTTCTTCTTGCCTATGACTTGTTTCTATGTTTACAGTTCAGTTTGTGCATATGTAAATTTGTTTTCCTGATTTCTGTGCTTGCTTAATTCTTCAACATCTTTACTTCTGATGGTTCATGTTAGTTATCTGCTTTAAATCTAATTCCTTAGGCATTCCAGCACCACACATGGGCAAAAATGGAACACTTTCAAATGTCACTCCTTAAATGAACATACAGAGTGGTTGGGTGTAGAGATGAAGGGATGGTAGAATAATTGGGCTACAGAAATGGTACTGATGCCAGGGAGTTGCCCTTCAGTACAAATTGTAATTGCTCTGTGCCTTTGAATGGGAATGGATTTTCCTAATTCCTGTTGGGATTAGGGAGAGCTGGACTGAAA